TTTCGGATTTGTATGTCCCTCTTCAGCGGGTATTTATCTAATAAATTCTACATAAAAATTAAAACAATAAACACTTTTAATTTTCCGACAATAGGTTATTGTTAATAGTATTTAAACTGAATTATTGTGTGGAAAGTGGAATAAAAAGAAAGAACATCGAAATTGTAAGAATTTTATATTTTATTATTGTTGGCATATTTTAAAACGTATTGTCAGAAAATATGTAATCCCAATATTATATATTGGGATTACGAGATTGTGTTCAAGCTTCTCCAGAAACCTCCCATGCTCAAAGGATTTATTAATTAAATAAGACAATGGTAAAGCAATTATATCTGCTAATTGTCTTAAAATAAATATATTTAACTTATCAATGTCCGGAGTATTTGCTTTTACACTCGTAATATAATCAAAATCTCTTTAGGAAAAGTCTCTTTCAAAACAAAAGAATCGAGTATTCCGCATGAAGAGGAATGTGAGAAAAAATGATTTTTTAACGTTGATGTGACAAAGCCTCCCATCTGTCTATAGTGTTCAGCAAATATATTATGTATTTTTTCTTCATTTTGAAAAAGTTTACCATTATGTTTCAACTGATTAATTTGTGCATTATCCTGTGTTTTAACTACTTTAATAGGTAGATGTTTAATCTTTTGCCAAAATTCTATAGAGGAACGTATATTAGAGAATTGTCTATCATAGTAATCTTCCTCTTCTTACCTAATTTTATATCTAATATCCTTGGATAGCCCTCTCAATTCTGTTAATATTTTAGCACGTTGATCTCCTAAAATACAACACTTGTTTAATTGTTTAAACAACCTCTTCTTCTGGCTAATTAACTTTTTTGTATCATTTGAAATAATTTTTTCCGAAAATGCCTTTCGCTTTATCTTGGTTTTCTTATTTAGTGTTATTACAGGAAAGTATTTATTAACCCGGCGTGTGTCATACCCGAGAAGATTTTAAACGCAGATTATTTAATGTTATTTTTGTCATGGAAATCCCTTCGCCACAGTAGCTGGAGATAAGGGAGTAGGAGACGAGGTGCAGTGTTGAGTTTAGTGTTGCGCCTGCGTCAGCAGAAGATACACATGAGCAAAGGTGACTGGGGCACGTCACACCCGACCTCATAGTCGGTGTTACATTTTTTAGTTGACAGTAAGTTTATGAGTTACATTTATTTATAGTATTCTTAGATTTACTTCTAGATTTCTCAAATGATAGTCTTCACATTAGACAACAAAACATGCATTATTCAAGGGAAATTCGAAAGTGATTACTGATCATCTGGGAGAACCTTCATTACCTGTTTCCAAAAAAGTGGGTAGTAAATATGTCAGGTGTAGTGACTGTACTAAAAAAAACAGATAGAAAAACAAAACATTGCTGTTCGAAGTGTGAAAAGCCAATATGTATGAAGCATGCAATTTTTGTGTGTTGAGATTGTGTTGATTTGTAGGTGTAATGTTGGTGCTGTGCAAATTGATCTCATAAGAACTTTTAGTTTTTTTCTATTTTTATAATTGAAAGATACTATAGTTATGTTGATTAACCAAAGAAGTTGTAATTTTGTTAGAATTTTATACGAAAAAATGTTAAACTACCAAAACTTGTAGTTTTTCAAAGAAAATATAGACACTGTGTTATTTCAATTAAAAGGAATGCTTTTCAATTATAAACATAATATTTTATTTACTTATCTTGTTGAATAGGTACTATTATTATTATCCCAAGTAAAAAAGTACTTAATACACAATTATAGTATAAAAAATTTGGCATCAAAGTTTCAGGTATCTCCTACCCACCTCATAGCTGGTGTGACATTTCTCACCTCATTCACGCCGGGTTAATGAAAATCTGCAGGATATCCTGAAAGTAATCTGCCAATTGGTCAACAGAAAGATTTGCAGAATAATAATAATCCCAAACGAAACAAGCTGACAGTGCATTACGTAAAAGATGTATTGATGAATTATTTATTTTTCTATGTGTTTTTAGCGATTTACCACATATTTCAGTATCTTTCCTTAGGAGAAAGAAAACTATAGGTGTATGATCCGACAATAAGTCCTGATGAATTAAAAATTCTGACTCACTTATATTAGTTAACCCGAAGTCAATCAAGGAGTGAGTGTCTTTATCGAATCTGGTCGGTTGCCTCCGATCAGCCAAAAGTGATAAATTTTCTGACAAACAATAGTTTAACAAGTCACAAGTACTTATTGGAGAGTCTTTAAGTAAATCTATATTAAAATCGGCAATAATAAGTAATTTATAATTCCTTAATTTAGTAATTTTAAAATGAATTATAGAATTTACTACACCAAAAAATAAACTGTAGTTTGAAGCCAGAGATCAGTAAATAACTACAATCAGAACTTTATTAATAGAAATTGTCATCACATCTATGTACTCTTCTGTAAATGTCAAATCAGGTATTACCTCATAAACCAAATCCTTATTTATAAACAAAACTATGCCTCCATGTTGGTTTGGTTCTCTTTCAATTTTTTCATATTAAAATTATTTTAAACGGAGGGTGAGTTTCATTAGTCCACGTTTCGCAAAAAGCCAGGATACCAAAGTTACAATCATAACCAGAAATAATGTGATTGATCTCCTGATATTTGTTATTTAAGCATCTTACATTACTATAAAATATATAAAGACCATCCCTTTCAAAATTAGTTATCTTATTATGTTTTAATAGAACTTCCATTATGAAATAAACTCTCAATATTCTATAACGTAAACACTCATGAAGGTGGAGAAGTTGCATTAATCTTTATATAAATTATACCATTTTTGGTCCAAGTATTTAGTATTTTCCCCTCCTTTTTTAAAACTCTAGTTTTAAAAAAAAAAAAAAGATTTCTATTATATGGTGTAAGATGATTTATATAAATTTTATATTCTTCATTAATTATTTTACATACACTAGAGGTAATTTTTAATCTATTCTCTTTAATTTTATCAATAATTTTTTGCTTCATAGTAACATTAGCCAATTTCACTACAATCGGCTTTGTCTTGCGCAACAATGAATTTCTTTCAGTTGGAAGAGACCTAGGCATATAGCAATTTACAATAGATAATTTATCAAATGTATCATCCACAAATGCCATAACTTTATAAACAATATCAGTTAAATTTTCATTTAGCAAAGTAGGAAGTCCAACAATTTCTAAACTTGAATTATTAACATCTTGCTCCATAGACCTTAATTTTTCATGTGTTTTATTTAATTCTCATTTCAATATAGAATTTTCTTGTTTTAAATCTGCAATTTCAAACGAAAACCTTTTGTTGTTAATCTCCAAAGAGTCAAGACGGTCATTAATTTTACCAAATTTATCTGATAAAAATTGAATCGATTCCTTTATACTTTTATTTGTTTGATTTATATTTTCCATACCTCCATAAATTTGTTTTAATTTTTAAAAATAGTTTGTCAAACCGGGTTGACTCAATTGGCTCGGGTGTCGTTGGAGTGAGCAAGAAGTTACTTTGCTTATTGTTATAAGTTTTACTAAATTTATGAAAAGTAGCACAACCAACTCCGTAACAGTAAAAATGAGCACTTTTCAAACATTGTGAACACAAAAGTAAATCATTATCCAAAATTTTTAAATTGCAGACAGAACATGAGAAGGAACGACGGTTAGCCATGCATCAAGGACCCCAATCGGCGAAAAAAAACTGTATTAATAGAAATACACACTGTACTGGTGGATGAAATAATATTTGAATAAATTAAGGACATTGAGGTGTATTAATTTAATCTGTTATGACTGGATCTAGTTTCAAGAACTCTCTTGAGTCGATCGCGATTGAACCTCGTTTCAGTCGAGATTGAAATGGTCGAGAGAGGTCGCACCACGGCATAGTTGCCGACCTTGGTCACAATCTAGATCGAAATGCTCAGTGCAAACGGGGTATTAGGATTGTGTTGAAAAGTTTATATCTCAGATTTGGGATAATGGAGCAAGTTTTTAGATGACAAGTCTATGAAAAAGTGTGATAAAAGAAATTTTGTAATGCAATAAAGCTTGTATAGTTTTAAGTAAGAATCAGTTTCATTTCTTCTGTTGTCATTTTTTATCAGTTTTTGCTTGAGTTTTATGAAAATAAAAAATTATCAATTTTACCAAATGACTGATGAGTTTTATTTATTTTGTCAGTTTTGATAAAGTTACAGCTTGTGTTTTTATAATTTTGAGTCAAAAATGTATTTACCTTGTTTTCTTGGTTCTAATGCACATCTGATTTTTTAAGATGTTAAAACCTGAAAAAAGTTAACTTGCAAACATAGTGCATGCCCTATTATTGAAAGTGCAGCTATAAAAAGTTAATGCATTTAAATGGTAATAAATGTATGTTTTGAAGTTTTTTTTATTTTTATGTTTATAGTGCTTCACAATGTCAGTATTTTTAAATGTATTTATTTATGACTCCATTATCAGGTACAGAGGATATGCAGGGAAATATAAAAATCATCTTTCAATTAAATGTTTTAACAATAAAATTTCATATTGGTATGCACAAGCATGAAAATTACCGGATACATAGTAACACATTAAAATATCCATGTTCTTCAGCATAGTAGATGACACGACTTTATACGAGAGTCATCTGCTGGACATCATTTATTTGGCTTGCTGTAGTTCAAAAGACCATCAAACTACTCTAAAACCAAAACCAAAATAGTGAGAGGAATGTGTATCATGACTATACTGATGTAATAAACACAAGTCAGTGAGTAGATTTGAGAGTAAATGATTTGAAAACTGAATGCTGCATTAAGTCAACTTCGTACCAAATTCTAATGCATGCTTGAAGTTTTGAAGATTAGAAAGTCCAAAAATAGTACACATTAGAATCAAGAAAGCATGGTGGTAATATTTTAATTTTAAACATATAAAATAATTTAAGAATAAAAATGGGTGAAGACTTTAAGTAGATTAATTTTTACATTTTATTGATTAACATTTTTTTAGATATGGAAGTTGTTTGGCTGTTCCCAGGTATCAGTTAAGCATTAAGGAGCATTTGAAATCTGAAATTAAGAAATGTGGAAGTTTGAGGCCATTTGATATACTTTTACTGAATGTTGATGTGTTAGATGATGATGATGATTTTGCTGATATAAATGTAAGTTTTATTATAAAATAGCTTGATTAATCTTTTTATAAGGCAACAAATTGGAAGACTTTGAAATTTAATTAATGATAATTAACACAAATATGCAGATTCATTTTTTCATAAAATAGATCACTTTTTACAAGACTAAGAATTTCAAAAAAAAAATTTATTTTGAACAATTTTTATGGAATTATATGTGATGATGCAAAATTGAGTTATTGGCACCTACTTGATGACATAAATAATGAAAAACTACTATAATTAAATATTTTGCTGAGAATATAGAAACCAAGCAATAAAATATCATCTCAAATGCTTCATATTTCCAGGTTGTAATAAGTAACATCCAAAAAATAATGCACATGCCATTTATCAAAAAGTTCCAGCATTTGAATGATGAAAAATTGTCACAAATGACAACAAGCATATCATATATATATATGGACGTGTGTGTACTAGTGATGTAACGAATATTCGGTTACTATTCGGTATTCGGCCGAATACCTAAAAACAGGAGTAAGAAATAACAAAAACACAGTAAATTAATCATTTTGGTATTTAGATTTAATGTTATCGAGTTAGTGTTGTTTGTTTATATTTATTTATAACTTGTAACATGCAAAAAATAAAAAAAGAAAATAATATTAGTCACATGTGTTCACAATTTATAATTACAAAGATCAGCACACGTACACACCTATTCGTTTGAGAATCGTTGCACATCTGAGGGTCTGACCCTGCCTATCCTTCTTTTTAAGCGCTTGTCTTTGCTCTTCCCTTTCTCTTTCCTCTATCGCTCTAGTCCACGTATGTCTATGCATACATCATAATATGCTCTCACGATACTTTTGATTCGTCACTTTTCCGTCGTAGATTTCCCATTTTACAATTACATGACTCATAGCCTGGTGATAATGGAGAAAAGAGACAGATAGGATGTCGGTATAAGTCACAGTTATGATTTCACAGATTCGAAACAGCTTGGTAGCCCGAACGACCCCAGGCTTTCGCCCGTGAACGCTAAGTGACTTTCATTACAAGCATTTAGCTTTTCGAAGTCTATGACAACAATTGTTTGGCATTGACGGCCGCAAATTTCGTGCCAATAAGCTGCCTCGACTTGTTCGATTATGTTATCAACTCAATTTCATATTTATTTTCACATTTTCACTTTGCGGTTCTTCTCTGTTCTTCTTCCGTTATTTACACGTGTAGGTCATTTCATTGTTATCCACATTTGATATCATCACCACTTATCATTTATCACATATAGCCATGACGTTCTTGTCTGAACTGTCAAGAATTAACGCGATTGGCGAAGCATAGTGACAGTGAGCCAATAGAGAGCAGGGTCCTTGCCATAATGCGGTTTGCATGCCAATTTTCGTACGTGCGTTAATCGAGCCGAATAGTTTGGCCAAATATTCAGCTATTCAGCCATGCTCCTGGCCGAATATTCGGTATTTGGCCTGAGGCCAAATATACTATTCATTGCAACACTAGTGTGTACACATTGCACATGAATGGTGTTTGTATGTAGTAGTAGCCCCAAGTCTCCATTTGTGCACTATGGTGGTTGCTTCTCAATAGCTATAAGGGTGCGGGAGATATGGGGCTTAAATTGGTTGACTTCGAAGATTTTCTATTTCAATTTTAAAAATGTTCGAACCGTTTTAAATTTGAATTGGTTCAATTATAGAACGATTGTAAATGTTCCAGAAAATTGATCAAATTGAAAATAGTTCATTTGACTGGACGTAAAAATTTTCTAATTAGTCAGGAAACGGGGGACGTAATTCTTGCATTCTGTGCTATAAGGGTGTGGGAGATATGGGGTTGAAAGTGGTTGACTTCGAAGATGTGTAACAATGGAAGTGTTGAGTAACAAAGGAGTAGCGGCATGCAAGATTTACAGATGGTTTTTTGTGTTTTTGGGGGAAATCGAACACATTTTTAGACTCGTAAAAATTCTCTAATTACTCTGGAAACGGGGGACCTAATTCTTGCATTCTGTGAAAACAGGTAAGATTGGCTATAATGTAATTATCTTAATCTTCACAATCGTTACTTTTTGCCCAGCGAAGCGGGTCCTTGCAGCTAGATTCTAGATTACTTAGAAAAACAGTCTTTTATATATAATATAATAAAAACCCAGCAAAGCGGGTCCTTGCAGCTAGTTAATTAATATAAATTTGAATGACATGAAAACTTAATCTATTAAATTTTTATGTTGTTTAAATATTTTTTAATACAAAAGTTACTAAAATATATGGTGATTTTAAAACTACTTTATAAATGTATATTGGATGTTTGAAATGTAAGACTGCTGTGAAAAGCAAGAATACAAATTATGCACTTACACTAAAGAACTCTGCTTCTACTGTACTATTTTAGATGCAATTTTTTGCAGGAAATTAAACATATTTTTAGACCCATCTAAAAATTTTCTAATTTGTCTCAGAAGAGGGGGATTTAATTCTTGCACTCTGTGAAAATGGTTAAGATTGGCTATAATCTTAATTTTCGCTTTTGTTGCTTTTTTCCGAGCGACACCAGGTTCATCTGCTAGTATGATATAAAATACATATATTTTTTTTAAATTGTACGATTGAACTTTATAGAAGTACAAGTTTAAACTTTAATATTGGGTGTGCATAGCTGACTGACATATTCTGGTATTCAATAGTTTTTAATATATATCAAGAGGGAATCACATTCTAGGTTTAAATGTAAAGTATATGTTTTTACTACTGATAGTAGTAGTATCTGTAGAATGGCTTCCTTCAGTTGTGGGTTATATATTGTCTTATATCTCAGATAAGTGTACCCATGGGGAACTGCATTTTTCTGTAATACCTAATCAGCCAATCATGATTAAGCTGATATCAATACATTGTTGTTCATTAGTACAGGTATTGATAGTATACAAATTGAATTTTAACACAGCTGCTTCTATGGTTGCAACAATAGTTTAAAAAGTTTGGATAAGTTTATTCTTTTCTTTTCACATGGTGCCGGTATGGTAATTTTTGTATTTAAATCTAGTATTTGTGATTTTTAAGATATAATATTTAGATGAATATTGTAGAATGATAGGTGCAAATACTCTTAAGTTGTGAAGCATTTTTGAATTTTTGAAGCAAATTGTGAAGCATCAAAATTTTGCCCATGTAATTTGTAACAATGGTCCAGGGTACATTTAATCCATGAAATTTTGATTGTTATAATTGCACCCATGCCAATGCAGTAAATACATTCTGTTTGTGTTCTACATATAGACTTCTCGATGTAAGTCTGTATGTGGTGGAAGAACGTAACCACACTACCATTTGATCATTCTGTCATTTGTGAAGTTTCAACCAAGTCAGTATCTGACATTATATTGGACAAGTTGTCATTATCAATTTTGATAAACACAGAATAAAGTACCTTGTTTAGAAGAAATCTATGGGAACGCTTGTGTTTTCCAATAGCAAGATGTGGAAGATCATGCGGACATTTCTTTCCAACACATTGTCAAGTCTTTTGGCAAAACATATCATGTTGGAAGACATGGTTTAATTACTTTTTGTTGAAATCCTCTAAACTGGAATAAGGTTATCCAAAAGTAGTTAGTCTTTTCAAGAGAAAGTTAGTTACAAGCAATTTTATTCTGTTTTGTGAATTATTTTATGTTACTGTTGTAACTAGGGGCATAAATTATAATAAATAATGAATGGTTGTTTCTTTAATCTGAAAATATTTCTCTTGGTAGACTATCTTACAGCAAGTCAGGTCAAGAAAATCTTTTATTGTATTTTCAATTTATATGCATTTTGAACTGGTTTCATTTTCCAGTTCCTCTTCAGTACTCTAGAATTACAATTGCAGATATTGAGTTGACAAAAATACAAATTAAAAATTAAAATGAGTAGAGATGTCAAATAACACAACGGAAACATTATTACCAGTACCTTTAAGAACTTTACACACTTTTTTTTCCCGAGTTATATTCATACGGTACTTGTATTTATCATATGAAATTATCATTCTTGGCGTAAACCATAATATGATTAAACAATATCGCTATAAATAATAATAATCTAAATATATAAAATTACTTGTCCTGACTGACTGAATGACTGATTCATCATTGCCCAGATCAAACCACTGAACCTAAAGAGATGAAATTTGGTACACAGTTAGGGTACGTCATGAAAATGCACACTAAGAAGGGATTTTTCGAAATTCCCCTACGGGGGGCGAGGGAGAGGATTAAAGCTTAACCGGGAAAATGACTTCTACTGTACTATTTTAGATGCGATTTTTCGTTTTTGACTACGTTTAGTCTTCATTCAGTACTTAGGTGTATTAAATTGATAACATTTCAGACATGGTTATAAATATTTTTATCTATTTCGATTTTAAAAATGTTCGAACCGTTTTAAATTTGAATTTGTTATTGCATATTTGTTTGATTATAGAACGATTGTAAATGTTCCAGAAAATTGATCAAATTGAAAACAGTTTGTTTGATTTTTCGGCAATTCTCATCATTCTTGGTGGTAGGTGTTATATAACAATTACTACGATTGTTGAAATACTGAATATAAATAGGGTTTGCTTGCAAAATCCTTGCGGGCAAAGCCGCAGGTAACAGCTAGTACAATCATAAAACTTATTTACAAATAAGTAATATAAAAATTTAAAAAAAAAACTTTTTAACAAAAATATACATACAGGTTTTTTTCTTTTTTATATTTTTTGAAAATATTCTATTAAATCAATAGTTCTGTGTGTAAAACATAATAAAATGCAAATATTGCTAAAAATAAAAGTACAGTCTTAAACCCAGTAATAAGTAAGTTTAAAAAAAAAATTTTTTTTACAAAAAATATACATACAGGTTTTTTCTTCAATATCATTTGAAAAATATTCTGTTGAACACTAGTTATATGTTGTATAAATTCACAAATGGTAATCCATACACAATAACCTTTACAACATTTGGTGTTTAGCTTTTACAAACAATTCACTGGTTATTATGCCAGTGAATTGTTTATATAACCCTCTATAATTATTAAATTATAGAGGGCACAATTATGCCCTCTATAATTTCGTACCATTGCTGTTCAATTTGCATTCCATTAGAGATATTTACAAGATTACTGTTACTATGTTTTACGATTTCAATATGTTCTTTAAATTTTCTTTTATATATATTTTTCTTCTCATGTAGAATTTTAATATTATTTCTATCAATATTACAGTTATTATTTATAATATGGTTATACCAAGGGGTTGTTACGTTTTAATCAAATGGCTGCTTCGTGTTCTTTGATCCGTATTTCTAAAGCTCGTCCTGTTTTACTTATATAATTTTTTGGATTTTGGCAATTACAGTTGATTTTATAGACTACACCTGTTTTTTTCTAGCTAGGTTTCAATTTAGCTTTCTTGATTTTACATAAAACTTTGATTTTAAGGAACAAGTTTCTTTATGCTGCACATCCAAAGATGATTTTTATTTAATGTTTACAAGATAGAATATACAGGGAGTGATTTTTGGTTTTGAATTTTGCAGGGGTAGATGCTTGCATTTTAAGGATCTAATCTGGAAATCTATTCCCAGTTTTTATAATTTCAATATAGTTGATATTTAATGTTTCAAAAGAAAAGTATATAACAAACAATATGAACTATAAACTTAAAGGATCTGATGCTAAAAAGTTTTTTTAAAAAACCGTATTGACTGCTTGCACTTTACCACAATATATTACAAAGTTTTTAATTTGATATTATAATGAACATTTTTTTGATATTTTGTATTTTACAATTGGTTTCACATATTCAATATTTGTAAATGTTATTAAAAAATAAAGGCATAACCTACCCAGGATTATTGTTCTATTGGGTTGTTCAGAAAATAATTTCATTTTTTTTATGTGGGAAAAACAATTTTTTAATAATATATAAATATTTTATTGACTTCTTTATATATTGACCATTTTGGTCCAATACCTTTTGCCATCTTTCTAGTAGTAGCATGATTCCATGTTCATAAAAGTTCTGATCTTTGCTTACAAAAAACTTATTCAAGTGATTTTTGACATCCTCATTTGAAGTAAATGTTTTACTGTTTAAAAAGTTTTGTAAAAACCGGAATAAGTAATAATCTGAGAGTGCCAGATCTGGTGAATATGGTGGATGGGGTAGCAAATCCTGTTCAAGCTGTAACAGCTTTTGACGAGTTGCCAAACTTGTGTGAGGTCTGGCATTATTATGGTGAAATACTACACCATTTCTGTTGATCAATTCTGGTCTTTTGTGTTTGACGGTATCACTCAGTTTGTCCAGTTGACAGCAGTACATTTCCGAATCAGTTGTGGAATTGTCTGGTAGAAACTTGAAAAAAAAATTCCTTTAAAATCCCACCAAACAGAGATCATCACTTTTTTTATGAATATCAGCTTTTGAAGTGCTTTGAGCCAACTTCTCTCTTTTACTCCATGATTGCTTGTGTTCAAGATTGTTATAAACAAACATTGCCAGTTATGATTCTCTTCAAAAATGGATCATTTTCTCAGCGTTTGAGAAGCAAATCATGTGTCGATGCAACAGAGCAAATTTCTTTCATTAAGAACATGTGGAACCCATATATCAAGCTTTGAAATGAAATCAAGTCAAGTGATCATAAACAGTTGAATTTGACAAATATAATCTCTTAGCAATTGTTCGTGTTGTTATTTGGCAGTTTGATTCAATCAGTACCTTTATTTTGTCTTGTAAAGCTTCAACTGGCCTTTTATAATGTGGAGTATCTTCAATATCAAAATTGCCAGAACAAAATTTTGCCAACCATTTTTGCATTGTCATTCTGCCAATACATCATCTCCATACATGTCACACAATTTTTTTCTTACTTGAACAGCATTCTTATCTTTTCAGTAATTAAAAGAAAACAAAATATGCCAAAAATGCTGCTTTTGATTTTCCATATTTGATGGAACAAAAAAAATTGCAAAGAATCAAACAAAATTTTTACAAATAAGCCTTGAACTGTCAGCTGTCAAAATATATAATGACAGTATGATTTAGAATGAAATTGGTGGGTAAAAATACAATTGATTTCTCTGATGGTAAAAAACAAAATTATTTTTTGAACAACCCAATATTAACTGACGAGTGACGGTCTTTTTGGTAGGAAATTTTCACATTCAAAAATTGAAATAAAATTAAAATATATAACTTAGTTAATTAACTTCATGTTTCCTTTCCTTCTTAATAAGAATCTACTTTATCAATGAATTAAATATACTGTAGACTGCTTTTGATATGATTTTGTTTAATATAAAGTTTATATTAGACATAAAAGTAGAATAGTGCACTATTTACAAAAGTAATAGACTTATCTCAATTTAGTTGTAGAATATTGCCAGATGGTAATTAAGTTTAAAATATTAAAAATTGAAGAGACAGTCTGTTGAAGCTGAAATCACCATTTATTCAATTTCAATGTTCCAGAATACATTTTTGATGAGCATCCTTTTCTTGTAGGCTACTTGGTTGTCAAAATTAAAAACATTCCTTTAAAAACAATGAAAAATAAACAAGTAAAGAACAAGGGGCAGCTGAAAATCTGTAGAGTGTACTAAAAGTAATGCAGGATTTAAATTTTAAAAAGAACGTATTATTTATTCATTAATTGGCAAAATTGTTACATCATTTTAAAGGGTAAAAATTCAATTAAATATGAAATAGAATATCTGACAAATGCTGACACACTCATGTCCTTTTGGCAAAATTTTCAATTACATTTTTCACATAATTGCAGCTTAATTTCATTGATAACTTTTTGAATTTCTGTTTTCAATTCAGGAATTGTTCTTATTTTAGTGGCATAAACTTTGGACTTTATAAATCCCAGAGAAAAAAGTTGCATGGTATCAGATTGCATAATCTTTGTGGCCAGTTCTGATCACTGTTGAGTGTTGTTGCATTGCCCATGAAACTTCTGTTGCTACACCTTAGTTATTTAATTTGCCATATGACAGGTGGCACCATCCTATGGAACCGCACATCACTCAAATCCATGCTGTCTAAACGAGACCACAAAAACTCCAATATCATCACGCAATAATGCTCATCGTTAACAGAAACCGCATTTTTCAGTCTCGTTTTCGAATAAATATGGTCCGGTTCCTCCATCAGTCTAAAATCCACATCAAATTGTCACTCATTGGGTATGCATTGGTCATTCTTTGCACAATCTTTGCATTTCACTTGGCATGTTTCTCCAACCAAAAATGCCATGTAATTTGCTTACAGTTGCAGCAAATCTTTTCCCATATTTGTAATAAGTTCTGATCATCATTATGTGCTATTTTATCATGTATCACTCCATATTAATTAACTGCAATGTATTTACTACTACAAGATGTTACTTCATATGACGCTGCCAACCCAATGGGAGAAAAATGTTGCAAAAATTTCAATCTTGCATTAATTTTGGGACACCCTTTGCATCTACCAGTGCTTGCTTCTAGTGGATATAAACTTTACAATCCACAAGTTGAAAGGATGGATAAAGAATGAAAGAAGTCTGTGGCATTGCAAGTTCTGATTTTAAAACTTGCTGTTTAATTAGATTATTTTTTCATTGTTTTTAATCTTGATGGCCAAGTAGCCTACAAGGAAAGGTCGGTTGTCAAAAGTGTATCCAGGAACATTGAAATTGAATAAATGGTGATTCCAGTTTCAACAGATTGTGTCTTTGATTTTTAATTTTTAAGACTATTATATTTTCTGATATTCCATATTTTTAAATTTTAATTTATAATCAAATTTTATAAGTTTTGTATGTTGTTTTTCTTTACAAATAATTATAGATAAAATACATTTAATCTAATTGTAAAAGTACCTTGTTTAGTGTGCAGAGTACAGATTTAAAAATCAGAGTGAATTTGAAGACGCAGAAATAATAGACACAAATTCAGTGTCAAGCAGTTCGTCATCATCTGCCGTTGTCATATTTCCACAAGATGAAAAGAATGTTACTTTAGAAAAAAATGAGGTAAGTTTATATAATTAATGTTGCTCAAAAATTTTGCAAGATTTCTATATATTATTGAATGTATACATGTTAATCATTTAATTGATTTAACATTTTAGCAGTAGAGGAGAAGGTGATATTATGGAACCCCATTTTCATTATAGTGAATTGTAAACATGGTATCATAACTACACCCACATTTTTTGTGTGAAAAGTACCAGTAACTGTTAAACTAAATGTTCCTAATTGGATTTTTCGCTAATGTAATTATAAGTATGGTTTTTGAAGGCTTCTGTACAAAAAGTCAGAAATCATTTACTCCAATGTATTTTATCAAAAAAATGCTTTTATAATAGAAAAATATGATCCCCCATCAACAATATATATTCCAGCAGCTCTCTCTTGATATTCTTGGGAAGAATTGGCTTTCTACCTAGTGTCTTTTTCACAAATTGCCCTGGACAAATGTCTGCTTGCAAAGAGAGTTTGGGGGAGTTGGGATCCATATTAAAAGCACCAATGGGGTCCATATTTCACACATCTCCATCTTGGGATAACTTAATTCCTGTCGACACCAAACTTTAAAAACGTGAGCATCGCGCAGATTAATACGTACCCCTAAGTCTCTGCAACGGAATACATGCACCGGCGAACCTACAACCGCGCGATTTATATTTTAGAAATAATTAAATTCACTTACCATTCAAAAGTTTTGAATTTCGAAAAACACAAATATGCTAATTCACTACAGACAACCGTTTAACCAAAGTTTTTCCCCTCGCTACGGATGTCTGCCTAGTGCAGTTCGGCCACAATCCGCTATGGTTTGCCTTTATTATCAGTTTGAAATGGAGGGGTTCCATAATACCTGCAGGGTTTCATAATACCACCTTTTCCTCTATTCTTTTTTGACAGAATTATGTACACTTTTGTATCAAAATGCCTTCATTACGTTTCTTGTGATAAAAACAATTGTGATTACATTAAATTGATGTAAAAGTGCATATTATTCTGACAAAAGAAATGTATCTCTTTTAAGTTGCATAAAGTAGTTTTGTAAATTGTTTGGAAGGGGCGTTGTAGATAGGATACTGAATGGTGACCATAGGTGAAGGTTGGGGTCATTGACATCCTTTCCCTTTTCTCTGTTAAAATGGATGAGAAGAAACATTACATTTAATGGTTTCCAGGCATTGAGAACATGTACTGTGATGACAGTGTGAGGTTCATAGAAAAACCTTTCTTAGACAAGGAAAAATGGGTTAGGAGTGTTGGGTAAGTATAACTTCATAGAACCAAGGGCAGTGACTCAAAAAAGTTTAAGAATCACTGATTTAAATTAAACTTTTCTAATTTTTTTAAAAAAACTATTTTAATGGAGAAACAAAACAACAACAACAACAACCCAAACTAAAGTCCCAAACACTTTTGAGCTTCCTGTTCATCATCAGAAACAAAAACTGCAAAAATTGTCTATTCAAAAATTTTGCTGATTTTACAAGTGAAATCTGTTCTAAGCAGGTATGACTTTTAAAATTAAAAAAATAAATATACAGTGGATGATTGGTTAACGAACAATTCGGGTAGTGAACATGATCTTGGAACGGATTAACCGATCACCCAGTGTACTGTATTAACACAAATATAAGACATTATTGAATTTAAGACACATCTTAAATTTTTTTTATTAGATGTGATCTAATAAAAATAACTGTCAGAATATTATTGTACAATTCCTAATATAAAAAAAATTTTACAGGGGATTTATGACAGCGTGCTTCCGACAGAGCTTCCTTTTCTTAAACACGAAGAATTACACGAGAAACTTCGAAGTAAACTTCTCAAAATGACAGAATTTGACGACGATAAAAATTCCCGGAAGGAGAGTGGCGATTCCTCTGTTCAATCCATCTCTTTGGGCAAGGATTTATTTTCTCATTTGAGAGAAAAAGGAGAAGACAACGAAGTGACACCAAAAGGGTCGGTGGACGTTTCATCTTTGGCGGATAGGTTAAGAAAGCACTGCTGCCCCGACAAAAATCAAAATGGAGAAGTCAAAGAGGAGGAGGCAGGTGTTACCCTAACTGGATCCAATGATTATATTCTCAGTCTGAATGCGCGTATTAAAAATATACTTGGTAATGTTAAGACTTGCAGAAAGGAATGCTTGGCCCAGAGAGAAATTGATACATTTTGCAGCAAAATTCATATAATGTCATAAAATTAGATTTTAATTCTATTTAGTTTATATATAAAATATATAAAAGAAATGCTATATTTAAATATAATTTTGATAGCTATATTATTCTATATATAGAAATAAGTAAAGGCTCAAATATGAACATTAATATTGAAACTTTATTTTATAAATTTGTTAACTTTAATGAATTTTCAATAAAACAATGTTGATTAATAGTATATTTAGTATGCCTCGTGCAAATCAATATTCTTTTTACTCCTTTGGTCTGGTCCTAATAAGGCAGTTTTTCTACGGGGAACATGGCCCGCGTAAACTTTTGGGGTTCTTTCTACTTTCGGGTCGATACAGTCATTCGGCATCATAGACGTTTCACCGCCACTCCACCCTCGGGACATACTGAAGTTTACCCTATGCAGCGGAGTGGCTCTACCCAATGCCTGTAATAGTACATATCAGTTAGTAATCCTCTACGGGCACTATCTCCCCAGTCACCAGCAAGGTATCCGCTACAGGAGTAAGATTCCTCACCTCACTGGCATTAGCACGTAAGCCATGGCACCAGTCCAGCCTGTGCGAACAGCTGGACGTTCGACTGGCGACAGTTGCAATCAAGATCAGAATGAGTCGTGGATTGTGTGCCAATGCAGTCAGTTCCGGCCCGAGACAAGTTTTAGGATGGAGCGAGATCCTATTATGGCACCCCCCTTGGTTGCCCTTAATTTATACCCTTTAATTTTCTTTAATACTGAGGCGTCCCCTAAAACTTAGCGCCTGGAGCGGCTGCTCCGTTTGCCCTATGGTAGGGCCGGCTCTGAACGCAGTATTACAATCTATAGTGCGTCTGGTCAACTGTTGGAGCTGTGGCCGTATTCTGGTCACTGTCTCTCGTCTCGCGAGCCGGTCGCTGATTGGCTAATCCAAATGATTAGCCAATCAGTGACCGGCTTACGAGATACCACAGACAGTGACCAGAATATGGCCNATAATTATAATAAAGTTAAAATAAATTAAGTTAATATATAATTATATGTACAGTACCTAATTTATATATAATACTGTACAGACGATAGCAAACTCAATTTACCCGCCTAAACTTTCTGTAGCGTGGCGCTGGACGGCGGAAAGTAGTTCGGCTGCTGCTCCGCGATGACGAGTTGGTGATGACGTTTTACGCGTCCCTTTATACGAATACTGCCGCAATTTTTTCGACGCGTTAAAGGAATATACGTTATTGGAACCCGCGTTATAGGGGGTCTACTGTGTATACTCCTCTAAATCAAAGGAGTTTTCTTCTGCCGTTTGTATCGCGTGTTTTAGGCATCCGTTATTATAATCGGGATACTTCTGGTCGTAGATACACGAATACTTTCGGATGTTTTCGATAAATCTTTCCAGATCTATTCTAGAGTAGCCGCGAGGGAACTCAAAACACAAAAGCTCGTTTTCCGCCATTTTAGCGCCGTTTCGCAGTGACCAGAATATGGCCCCGGGGCGGTCAGTAGAGATGCTTCTATGGATGTCGGGAAGTCCGGGACGAAGCGTCGAGAACCGGAACAGTTCAAGACAGGCAGGATGGTGACGTTCGGGACGAAGAGTCCGAAGGTAGAACAACGAAGACAAGACAGTTAACTTCACAAGGGAGAGGCATGGAAAAGTCTCCTCGGATAACTTGGCAACAATAAGCAGAGAAAGTCTACGTCTGACCCTTTACAACGGGAGGCGGAGGAAGTCTACCTTTGTCCTGGAGATTCAGGCTTTTAAAGGATTCTTTTCTCGGATCTGAAACTTTCCGATTGGTCGCTTTCTTGTATCCAGGTAGATAACGGGGCTATGAAGGGTCGAATACGATCGAGAGAAATTAATCGCATTTTGAAATTCCTGCTCGTATTTAACTATTGTTTCGAATTCTTGTAAGTCTGACACACAATCTCCGCGCTATATCTCCTTTTAAGTATTTAAAACTTTTTTCTTTTTCTCGATGAATAATTTTATTATTTCCCGATTTAAAGTTTTTCTTCCAGTTTTTACGATCGTTAGAATCAAAGCCCGGTCCGTTCATTCGACGCTTTTATTAAATTTTTAACACGTGAGCTCGAGAATCGCTCGGGCTTCACATTTTCTACGTACAGTACGTATGTAGAAAATACGTAATGTTTTCGAGGTTGATGGACGAAAGCGCGGGATAACGCGTTTCGTAGTGACTCGAATCCGTTACTTTGAATAACTATATTAATTTTAGAGCAGTGTTAAAAATAGGCGGTTTACGGTAAGGCCGAGACTCCACTAGCGTAAAAACCTTCAATCACGTGACCTATTTGCGTTTGCGGCGGAGGTCCGGCGACGGTATATTCTACGAGCCGGATGGCCGAGCGGTCAAGGTGGCAGCATACCGCTCTGGGGGACCCGGGTTCGAATCCGAATGGGTCGAAAAATCCCCAGGAATTTTTCGGGGGTGGTCCGTTCGGATATGTCGGGCCCGTCCCTCACCACCCGGCAGCCCCATTGTGGGCCTGGCCGAACCCATAATGGGCTTGCAAAAAGAGGCCCTCTTAGTGCCCACAGGGCGGAAAGAGTTAAATAAAAAAAACAGGTATATTCTACGAGTTTTTTCTCTACTGTTACCCTAACTGGATCCAATGATTATATTCTCAGTCTGAATGCGCGTATTAAAAATATACTTGGTAATGTTAAGACTTGCAGAAAGGAATTACACACTTTTTTTTCCCGAGTTATATTCATACGGTACTTGTATTTATCATATGAAATTATCATTCTTGGCGTAAACCATAATATGATTAAACAATATCGCTATAAATAATAATAATCTAAATATATAAAATTACTTGTCCTGACNTAAATCTTTCCCGATCTATTCTAGAGTAGCCGCGAGGGAACTCAAAACACAAAAGCTCGTTTTCCGCCATTTTAGCGCCGTTTCGCGATGACCTAGATTTCGCTGATTTCCTATTGGTGGATGGTACCGTTTTACGGTCGTATTCGCGTCGAAAGTCAAACACCGCTCGACTGGCTTTTAGTGCGTAAAATTGTGTGGCAGAAAACTGAATCAGAAATCAGCTTTCGGTTCAGTTTCTGTTTTACGCTTTTATGCCAGAACACACACAGGTAAAAATTCTGGACGAATAGAAACGCCACTGCCACAAACAGCGCTACATTTTATGAATTTTTTTCTCTCATATATCTATCCATTTGTACCTTCCATTTTTTCTCCGCTTCCTCCGCTATAATATAGAAAATTTAATTAATAGACTCGTAGTCCGAATTCAAATAAAGAACGTGTGATTTAAATACTAGGCTTATATATCGATTCTACTAGACCTACCTGTTGTTTGAAATTTTGCACTTATACCATCCATAGACGTTGTTTGTCTTTATACATGATACTGATGTGGTCGAACGGATTCGATAAACTCCTCTATTTCATTTATTTTTCGTTTTTTCGAGACCGTCACAATTGTAGGTTAACCCTCATTGTTAGAATAAAAACCACGTGTCTACTTTGACGTCACAGAAAAGACCTCTTTATTGGAGGTATTTTGGCGTAAAAAGTAGAAACACACACTACTCTATTTTCAGTTCTGTTTCAGCCAAAATTTCAGAAAAATTTTTACGTTTTCTGTTTTATGCTAGATTTTAAGCCGAATTTTACGCGTGTGTTCCTGGCCTTACGCTGGTTTTACCACCCGCTCGGGCGTAAAATATCGTGGTCACGTGATTAAAAACTTTTACGGCCAGGGGTTTTACGCTAGGGGAGTCTCGGCCTAAGGGAGAATCGATCTGGCCAAATATTCCGGATTTTTAAACGCAAAACTCGCTGGCACCCGCCACGTGCGTACGGGAAGAATCTCTTTTTGTAATTTCCGGTGGAAATTACATACAAAATTGCAGGTATTATTTGGCAAAAGACAAATTTGTAGTGGTTAGAAAACGACGTTTCGTTATAAAAAAAATTAAATCGTTCGTACGGTCGAAAGTTCTGGAAAAAAAGAATAGGGACCGGAACCCGCGACTCCCACCGGTGCTGATTTTTAGCTATAAATTAATGGAGACGGCGGGTAATGCCACCTCCCTGCCATTATTAATTATCGCTCGGTAATTTGGCACAAAGAGCGAAAGATGGCCGGATTACATCGGGCTGTATTAATATTTAAATCGTTGCGGTCGATGCGTGTAAAATAATTTCGTTAACGGGCGAAAATGGCATTTTACAAATATAATTGGACGGAACGTATTCCTCGCGCTCGGTTCGACCAGAAGACACGGGCTCCGGGTAGGGATTGCAATTGCTGGATCCGCAAATACGCAATTAACTTTCTAAATAATGGCGCAAAAGTCGGCGTTGCCGTTCAGTGCGGCACGCGCTACCCCCTCTCTACGCCGCACCGCCCGCCCTTTTACCTCTGCCGATCTAATTGCCAGTTGACTTTCCGCTCTCGCTAAATAAAATAAGTAACTCCACTCCTAGTGACGGTGCGTAGTGTAATTCTAATTTACGGTCGGTTGTGACGTCGATGAACGCGTGACCGGACGATCGCAGTTTAAGCTTACGGGAAGCTGCAGTTTCGCGGTTCGTCCACGAAACCTAATCTATACCTCCGGGAGATGACCGTCACTAGCTAATAGATAACCTTCTATTTCAGCTCGATCGATATTTTACCGGAGACGAAAAATAAGAAAGTTTTCATACTTTTTTCCGGCGATCGGGAGTCGCGTCGCTCTCTCCGCTAAGCCTATCGCGCGTTTAACGGGCAGTCCGGCAGATACGGATGTCGACACGTTCGCGGTCGGATAGTACTACGCCTTTAAGGAATGGGAAGCCCATCAAAATATAAACGCCATTGTCGTCACCGACGGATCGAAAACCACCGACACGTGACTGCGGCTTTCGTCGACTCAAAAAACATCATCGTGGCCCACTTCTCTCTCCACCCCGAGGTCTACACTCGACAACAGAATACGCTCGCGAAAGCGAGGGAGTCGGAGGTGAAAACTTATCTTTGAATTACGATTATTTGATGACCCCGAAACCAACTAGCGTAGAGGCAGAAAGGGCCTTCTCCGCAGCGGGATATATACTCAATTCATTAAAAAGTAGGTTGGAAGACGACGCCGTCGATATGTAGCAATTATTTGTAGCGAGTTT